AAGAAGATCGTGCCGCAGAATAACCAGTGTCGACGTCGGTGGCGTTGTTACGTGAAAATCCTGATTGGTCAATAGGATCATGACGTCACAGCCACATTAACTCGCTCAGGAATTCCAAACCCAAAACGTGTGGAATACAAGCGATTAAAAACATGACATTTAATGCGAATGAAGGGTCCCCGCATTTCACAAATGACTTAACAATAAGAAGAGAGTAATTTGCTTTAAAAAAAAATTTGAAGAAATTAAGGCAGGATTCGAACCTCAATTCCTCGGTTGCGGGCCAGACACGCTATTGACTAGGGCCATGCAGATACTTTCTTTTTCTTTAATCAGGCACGCAAAGACGCTTGCGCGTCTTGAAAATGAGCTGAAGTTTATATCTTTAGATATCGCGCTCCCCTCTTAAAGTCGAAGCTTAAGTGCCCCCCAATTTTTTTTATATATATTAAGGTAAGTAAGGTATGCCAGAAATGCAGGTATTTTTTAAAGGGAGGACAAAGAGCGTCGCTTTCTTAAGGGACAATACCTCAATTTAGAAGGACATACCTGCAATTTTAAAAGGAACCAAAGATGTCTTCTTTTTGTTTTATTGAGCGGCGTCACCCTTAATCTTTTGAAAGGAAAAGCCGAGGTCAGTCACCCTGACTCTTACGCAGACATGAAGTCCGGTGTCGAGGTACTGGGAAATGTGGATATGTGCGCCGAAAAAAGTCCCATTTAAATCAAACGGCACAACCGCTCACGTACGTTATTGAGACAGCTAAAGTAGAGCACTAGATTACTTGTGAAAGGAACGAAGCCTACGGACTTTTCAACAATGTTGACTGAGACAACGTAGTATCTTGCTAAAACATCGTGGAGTAAACATGTGATAGACCCATGGTTTGCCTGTCAAAAAGGGTGCTGACTAGAGAGTCTGTCTAATGCTGCATCAACACTGGCGCTTGAATCGCAACCGCGAGAGGATCCGCTCGTTTCGATCATCAAATACGCGTGAAGCGGCACTACATATTCCGGCATACACGTTCGCAACCGAGTCGAGAATGCGGTTTAACCGGTAGTGTGATTGAGGCATAAGCTTAGCCCCTTAACGAGTAAACCTGGGAAACCTGAGGGATACAGCTTTTTGCTTTGGCCTGTACGCAAACGATTCACCAAGTTGGAGATAAGTAAATATATATTTGCACGTCCACTTTGAGAGTCGTGGGTTCATTCATTGTTGTTGTATTGTCGGAAATAAGAATTCTTAAATTTGTCCGCATTCGTTTCCTCCCCTCGTGACGTAACTCGAACACGCTCGAGCACCGTTAATTGTTTTAAATCCGCAGGTCTTTGTTCTTTTGAATACAAATGGCTTTAGTTTTTCTAAAGCGGCGCGCTCTTGGAAGTTTGTGAGGGTGTTAGGTTTTATGCGTTTATTTCCTATTTTTGTTTTATAATTTGCTTAAAGCTTTTCGCATCATACACATGAATGCGAATTAAACGTTTCTAACAAGATATCTCCAAGTGGAATATAAATCAGGCCCTTGCATATTTGTTATTCTGCAGGCCTCTTCCAACTTTACGTAATGAGAAATATAGGGCATTGTACTTTAGTTTGAGATGGCCTCTACCCTTTCCCTCCCGAAGATTAAAAATAAAATAATTGCCATTTTTAGAGTGCTTTTGAAGGCTGATTAAAGCTTGAAAACGAAAATATTATGACGTGTCGACGCTGAAGAATTTGCCTTAAAGGGGTGCGGAAAAAAGGTTCGCTAGTTGAGTATAGCACCGCATGTGAAGTACATACAGAAATGTGGCTGAATGTTTTCATCTCGGAAGGGCTTAACACTCCTATGGTGACAAATCGCACAGTTCGTGAACTGAAGATGATACACGAGGATGATGGCCTTTGGCTTCGGAAAAATGAGGTGACGCCCATTACGATTGTGCTACGGTTTCGCTTTTTATATAATTTGAGATAACATTCGTCTTATTTATTCAAGGGAGAAAGTTGTGCTTTGCTTTAAAGAAGACTTTGTGTATTTCTCTTCCTTCATGCTGCGATTTATTTAAGAAAAACATTTTTGCATTATAAAACGATTTTGACAGCAAATTTATTTTATTACAGATGCGATTTCATTGATTTTTTTTTCTTTGCCTAATAAAAGTTTGTTTTTTATACTAATGTAACCAACTTACTCTTTGCGGGCTCAATATTTCGCGATTTAGGTCAAAGCTGAAGTTTGGCAATAAATAATTGACGGGTTATAATTTTCGCTACGAGATGGGATTTCATATAGATTCTAATGAGTCTACATTTTACCGGAATTATTGGCGGACATATTTTACGCGAATCGTCGGCGATTCGTGAAATTCGCAAAAATTAGGACCTTGCATATATTAAGTCCTCTACAGTATTTGTTTTGTCACAGGTAATTCAGAGTGAACCATGCAAGCAGTTTTTCTCCTGAAGGGGATGGAGCCCTATGTTTGTTTAAGGGAAAGATTATATCCTTTGTATAAGTATAAGCGTTATTCGGAGGCGCTTCCTAAGATAGACTATGTGCCTCAACGTGCTTCAGGAACCGCTGTCCCTCTTAAACTTTACTTAACGGAGTCGATCTTGAAATTTGAGGACGACCTTAAGAGAGCTCGTGTCCTTTTGAGTTAAGACGGATGCAGTCTCTCTTACTGCTAAACAGGTGTTAAAAAAAAACTCAGTAAGAGAGTTTTAGTTTGTAGTGTCGCGGTTTTGAAGCGTAATGGCCTTTTGTGCACCAATTCAGTACAATTATTACCTCTTTTTGTGAACCCTTCGTATATGAGAGTGAGACTTGCTTCCTTGACATACTTGGTACAACAATTTCTGAAACCTCAAGTAACTTTACTTGGCTGAAATGTTCAATCATTTTGAAAACATCAATATGAGAAATACTTATGGTTCTTAATATTTACAGACATACAAATGTTTGTTAACCGAAACCTGCACTTCATTTATAAAATTATTAAAAGAACCATTTTTATTTTAGAACATTTACACTATTGTAAGCACAAGATATGCAGCCGACTTCCTAACAATACCTCTTTAATTAATTGGTTACGCAAAGTTTCCACCTATTTTTGGATATGCCTCACCTATATCGATTGTGTTTTCTCCGCCATTTGAGGCATCAGGGAGTCTCGGGCCCACCCTTGATCCCCTTAACGTAATGATCTTGATCCGTTCTTCCAAAACCTGTCATCACCTGTCCTTTCCAGATTAATGAAACCGGGCGAAGGCGCCTCCAAAGAACGCCAAAACGCAGCACACATTGCAAACAAAGCGTGAGACAGCCCGGAAGGACGCTCCCGACAGGGCAGAAGGAACCCCTGGAGAACCGAGATGAAAGACGAGCTTAGGGAAGGGTCGGATTAATTGGACCCTCCTTAATGAGAACCTCTCCTCTCGCCCAGCGCCCGCAAGTTCATAACAGCGAATCCCAGCGCTTTTGAACCGCAAGGCCCCTGAAAAGCTGAGCATGAATGTACAAAATTATAGGGGTTAAATTTCAACCGTTACACCCGGAAGAAAAACCGTAGACTTGGTGAAGAATACGGATGCACCCGTTCCGGTAAGAAACGATAGGCGACATAATATACTAATAATTCAATATAAAGTTTTATCAGCTATAAGTTTGTTTTGATCCCTCTCTTGGTTAGAGGTACTTCTTTTGTCAGATTGATATATTGGCAAGTCAATTTGTATATTTAATAAAAAAACAATATTCCATGTTTTACGAAGGTTCTTTAGTGCGAGAGAGCAGTAGGATGGTCGGCCTTCCTTGCTTAATAAAAATGTATTGGCTGTTTTCGACGGATTTTACAATCGTAGGATGGTGAAGCTGTGTCGGCGACTCAATCAATATGGACAGATATAGAGGTTGCTCTGAGTAAAAAGTTTACAAAATTAATATCAGTATTTCTTTTTTGCTTTTTTTATTCTTTCTATAATTATAAAACCGATATTCCGGTGTAGACCTACAATGCTTGACACTTTGACATACTTTTTGAGCCCCCTGATTTAAAGATCAATTTTTGAACATTTCTAGAACTAAAAAATAGAAAAAGCTGATTGGTCCAGCCCCCTAACTTAAAATCAGTTTAATTAACACATGAACGCCCGAAGAACTCTTTATAAAAAAATAGGGACACAATTCAAAATGTTTTATTCAGTTGACTGTTATCTTTATTGTTTATTGGCTCAGTGAATGATGTTCGTATATAGTTCTGAAATGCAAGTTACAGAAGGAATTCCTTCCCAGGAGAAGATACCGACGAGGCTGAAGCATGTATACAAGAAAACACTTATGTGATTTACCTTAACAAAAAGTATATTCGTCGCTCTCGCAGAAGTTTAGAGTGCAAATTTTTAAACTATAATTATGAAACTATTGAAGCTTAAACTACGGGTAAAATAAAAACTACGCGAATACTTTTAACGATGATTAATGTGAATAAAATGAAGTTGTTAGCGAACAAACTCGGATATCGCAAGCGAACCTTCGAGAAAAAGGTTTGAAATGTACCCAGTAAATGAAAAATAATGTAGGGATGGGTATTTCATATTTACTATCTTACATTCCAAGACCTTGGACGTCTACTTTTACGCAAAGCAATTTGAACAGCCATTCACAGCAACCTAAAAGAGGAGGTAGGTGAATGTTTAGCCCTGAAAAGTACTCTGGAGTAGAACTGAGTGCGGCGAAACAACTGCTTAGATTGAACAGTGTTGGGAAAATCGGTTGCCCTGTTCTTCGCTTTCACGGTAAACTCCATGGATGGCGCAGTTCTTTATTATTCGAACCAGTTTTCGCACACCATTATTCTAAGCATACTTTCAGCCTCGCCGATCGCCTCGTGCTTCCTCCGTAAATTGTAGCGATTGATGATACTCCGAAATCCTATGCCCGAAATCAGACTCTAAAGATTTCTTAACATCTACGCGTTGATTTCAAAATAGAGAATTGTGTACTTACCGGCCGGCAGGATACTGAAGACGCAAGGCGTGGCAGTCTTGCCTACCGAATTTGAGGCGAAGCATATGAGAGACCCATAGTCGGCCTTCCGGCGCGGCGTGTAGTAAGCGCTGCTGCTGCGCGGTCCAGACTGATTGAACGACACAATGTCGAGTGTTTCCAGACTGTTGTTGAATTGCCAGCGGAAGCGGACGTCCCCCGGGTCCGCCTCGACCTCGCAGTTGATCCTGGTGGTCTCGTGACGGGCCACGTGGTACACTCCCTTCTGCTTGTCTCGACAGCGTGGAGGATCTGCAAGATGGGTGACGAAACAAATGCAGACACACCTTCAAAGTCACGATAGGCTTTTTAATTATGATGTACGGGGAGCTTCCCGAGCACCGATAAACGTATGAATTTCTTTGTACGAATATATCAAGTGTTCACATCTAATCCTAATACTGCTTGTTAACATGGAGGCTTGAGCGAGTTGGTGATTCACTGCAGGCTGTATAATCGCAGAAAGGAGGATAACACATTGATACAGGACAACAGATAAATACAGATGAGTTGTAAATTGGCGCTCTTGTTGGTCCTGTGTGCGTCTCATATATTTTCCTTTTTTTTTGTTGTCGTTTTTTTGCACCGTCGCTGAGTGTAGTAAAAATGTACCTATTTAACACTGATTAAGATTATCAAGACGATGTACCTTGTAGTGACGAATAATGGGATACCGAAAAATGGGATACTGAAAAGAAACAAAGAAAAAAAGCTTGCCTGATCTGTATGATCTGAATCAAAGAGCCGCCGTAGTGCAGAGGCACACAACGTTCTGGCTCTGTTCCACACAGCGGCATTTCGGGGTTTTCCCTCCTCCTCGATATTCATAAAACCGGTTTAGGAGGGGGGGGGGGACGGGGAGGAGGGAGGGGAGGGTCACTTTTGGCGATTTATCGGTATGTTGGGAGCGTGCGACACTAGTTACCGCGTCCATGTTACCTGGAAAAGTGAAGCGAAGCGTCGTCCTGTTTCCTTGTTTCTCGGTCTCGCTCCGGAGTAAAGGCTTGGAACCTTCACATCCAAAATCTACCAACGTCCAGCGTTGCTTTGTATGAGTTTTCCGACCTTTGACTGTTCAATCGTGTGCTCCTGTTCAATCGTGTGCTCCGCAGTTTTAAGCGGCAACGACGGCAACGCACAGATATATATATACTTTTTTTGCAATTTATCTGCGCTTGAAGATGCCTCTACAAACTGTGTGTCTGCTCAACAGTCCAGGAATCTCTAGGGGACGACATTCACCAGTCACATAAATTGATAAAGCCTACATGAGATGTGCTTTTTGTTCTTCGTATTATCAGACTGCTCTGCGCTCGCTGGCGGATTCAGTTGACGCATTAGGATTGAGATGATCGCGGCGCTTTTAGAAAGTACATGAAAGGGATTTGTGTTCTTAATTTCCAGGTCCAGCGTAAAAAAAAGTGTCGCGCAGTCTTTGGTTCCGATTGTGTTGTATAGAGCTCTTCCCAGGTAAGCTGACATTGACTAGAAAAGTTAGCTGTCACACTAAATGTCTTTGCCAGTAGGGCCGTGGTCTATGTGAAATGCTTCTGCTAGGATATGCACGGTGATGTCACTGCCTTGTGGCACCCTCCCGATAGCTATAACACAGGACTGTTGACATTCCAACGAAAGCCTGGGAGTTCATTCTCCTGCAGGATGCGGAAACAACATATCACGCCGAACAATTACCACGATTGCTGCGAATCACGAAGCTCAGATTACGATTAGACCAAACATTAAAGAAATTTCAATTGGTCGATACGTTCTGGAAATGTGTTAGAATGACCCTTAAAAAACGCCACACACCTCTTCCTTTGGGAAACGCTAAAGTTTACACATAAAGTTTTTTTTGTTTTGGCTTACTCTTTTGGCTTTTTTCTTTTCTTGCTCTATTTTTTGCTGCTTTTTTCGGCTTTATAAAGAGGTCAGTGTTAGCGTTTCCCAAACGGGGACGTATGTGGTGTTTCCCAAAGGCCATGCTAACGCATTCCCTGAGGATGCACCAATGGATCTTCCTTTTTTTTTTTTCCGACGAAGCGGGCTTGGTGAGCCCGCTTCGCCCCAGCGTCTCTCGCAGGCAGAACCCAGTCTGTTGCTGCTTCTTGCGCCGCATTTCGGCCAGCCGAGCTAGGCGCTGCTTCAGTTCCTCTGTCTCGTTCGCCTGCCTTCCACGCTGAGCAGTGGCCTCGGCTGCCAGATGCTGCTTCCGCTATTCACCGATTTTCCGCGCTCGCATTGGCTGCCACCTCGTGACGTCGCCTCCTCGCCTCACCGCGCCGCGCGTACATTGGCTTCTGCCCAGTGACGTCGCCTCCCTCTCGCCCTTGTCCTTCACTACTCTCCCCCTCTCCATGCGGCGCGCTACCTTTCCTCCGTTTTGTCCGCAGACAGACGGCATCAGCTTTTCCCTGTTCTGTGGGTGCTGATGCAAACGCAATAAAAATGCGATGAGCGCAGAGAACAAAGGAAACGCCATTTTTCTCCCGTACATTAAGATATCTGGCGCGCGAAATTTCCCCAAATACCCTTGTGTGAAAAATGCCGAAGCAATCTACGGAAGGAACTAGGCTAGTGACGAGACTGGAAATTTGTTTACGCATAAAAAGCAGTCCGCGCTGTGACTCGGAGTCTGGCTTTTCACGCGCTTACGTCATGCGCAGTGTAGCAGCGCAGACGCAGTTATTTTTGTCTAAACATATGGCTCGCACCGTCATTTGTGGAGCCCCTTCCGTAGAGTGCAGTGATTGGCTCTTCCAAGTGCTCTTTGGAGACAATGACGTATTGATTCTTTTAGAGTGCAAAATAATACCTTTTTCGAGCAACGAGCGCCGTCTGGGGTGTTGTCTGCGAACAACAAAGGAAGGGCCGGTCACCATGCCTCCGCCACTCGAAACCGGTTGAAAGCGCAAATTCACTGTTTTTTTTTTTTTGTATTTTTTTTGCGGGGGGGCGGGGGGGGCGGGGGGAGAGGGAGGTTGTGGTGAAGTCAGAACTTCGAGCTGTGATCGACTTTGGTTGAATGATAGTGGGTAGACCTCGAAGCAAACTCTTGAGGTTCACCCGCTATCCTTCAATCAAAGCCAATCAGAGCTCGGGGTTTCGACGCCACCACAAACAAAGAAGCAGATAACTTGGCGCTATCGTACCCTTGTAGTCATTAGCATCGCTTTTTATGCCCCCATACCGATACACTCAAAAAAGAATCGTCAAGAAAAAACGGTATACGCCCACAAGATAAGTGCTGAATGTGCCTCGGTTGTGCGGGACGGTGCCATCCGAAAACGGCGACAGCAGGAAGCAAGTTCAGGGAAGAGGTGCACGGTGCGCAGAAGCTCTAACAATACTCCGTTTCACTTTTAAGTCCGACTGCAACCAACGCTTCGATTCGGTGGAATCAATCAAGCAGCTGCAAAAGTGCATCGTTACATCGCTCGTTGTTTTTGAGGGTATGTACTTGTCACCGGCTAAACCAATCACGTAAAGAAACAAAAAGAGCAGGATTCGCGGCAGATTTAATTTTCCTGATTGGTTTAGTCGGTGGTGGAACACCAGCACCACCTAGACAGAAGCCCTCCGCGCGCGTCATCTAAAGTCAGATCAATCGAGGCGTGCGATTGGGCGCGACTGCTGTGTCAGTGTTCGGCTGGGGCTCGTGCCCAATCAGCGTGTCGAAGGTTGGGCTCGGGCCCAGTAGCCGAATCGCCGAGATCGGACTATGATGACGTTTAAGTGAGGGAGAGGAGACCACTCGGAGGCCGTCTGTCTAGTCGGTGTTGGGAAGACGCACTAAGGCCACAGACGCCGTGACGATGCACTTCTTAGCGCTGTCTGATTGGCTTCAGTAGGATCGTAGTGCCGGCTGCGGCCTGACCTAAAAAAAAACGAAATATAAAAAGAAAGTAAATTCACATTTAATGTTTTCGAAAAACAAATGAGCGATACAAAGAGGCACTCACAGTAGACCATGAGGAAGACTTTCTCGGAAACTCCGTGACCCAGGTCGTTGGTGGCCACGCACTGGTAGTTTCCCTTCTGGTCTTTGTGTAGCCTGTCGATGACCAGGCGCACGTGCTCGATGCGCACGCCAGGCGACGGGGCCAGCTGGCCGCCCTCGTGGAGCCAGCCCACCTCCTTGACGGGAGGATTGGCCTGCACGTTGCAGTCGAAGTACACGCTGCTGCCCTCGCTGATCTGGTCCTTGGCCTCCATCGTCACCATGTTCAGCTGCAGCACGGGCTTGACTGTGGCCGGAGCAAACGGCGATCGTCAGTGGAATATTTAAGAGCGTAGATTAGCCAAACATTCCTGAGATGTTGATGGCAACAGCTTCAGACGACTCGATCACGTAGTTTCATTTCAAGGAAGATTACAAAAACGGCGAGAAAGAAGATATGCAAACTACTCAAAGAAATTATAGTGTAAAACGCGGGAGAGAATGAGCACATCTCTACTGAGACGCCTTGAGGCCAGGAAGAGGACGGACGAGGACAACACCGTCTCACGTATGAGACGTTGTTTTCCTTGTCCCTTCTGTTTATGGACTCAAGGTTTCTTTTCATGGCTATTCCGCGAACGATCGAAAAAAACATATACTTTAGAACCTCCTAATATAAAAAAAAAATAATTTTACTAAACTCATTCGAAAATCAATTATTTCTTTACTTTTGACAGTGAGGAAAATTCGGAACGTGTGGAAAGTTGTTAGATATTTAAGAAGCCCAAAGTTTCAGTAAATAATACTTGGAATCGACGTAAAATTATATGCCTCGCCCCTTGTAAAAGTTCCAGGTTTAATCATACGTGAAATTACCAGAGAAGAAACATGAATAAAGCAAACGGAATGGAAACCAACTCTTCTTTTGAGGTGCAATGCGATATTACGGGTTCCTTTAACGAATATTTACGCTGTTCTTTGTTTATATCACAAAAAAAAAAAAAATTTGCCTAAAGCTTAATTTTCGGCAAAACTAACCTCTACCAGTCAGGTCCAGATGCCAAAGTTCCCGAGCTCTCATTGTCTTATTGAAACATTATGAGCGATTTCCGAGAATTTTCTAAACGAAAGTGAAGCCCGTTCTCGGTATCCAAGGCCATTCATCTCCGTGAACTCGTGCAATTTATCGGGCCGCTATTTTTTTATTACATACTTCTGAAAATCACTTTTTAACTTTGAATCAGATAGCAGCCGGTTCCGTATCTTCCGTCCAGACCACTAGCGTAACACTTGGGCCGAGGCTACAGTTCAGAGATGCGTAGTTTATTTTTACAGTAACAAAACACAACATCATTTTTGACAACATCCGGTGCTTCAATATACCACGGACTTCAATTGCGCAACGGAACGTACACTCTAAATGAAAAAAACAGGATTTAAAGACAGCATTGAAATTACATAAATAATAATACCACAAATTAATAGCAGTTGTTACACAACACGTTCAAACCGTTCTTGGAAACGCGAACCTTAAGATTTAAATGGGAGGTAAAACAATTTCACGTCACGTCTTCGACTTTTTTATTGTTTGTCCAGTCTTATACTTCTGTCAATAAAATACGCGTGTTGAGACATAATATTTATTTTGCCCATGTATTCAACAGGGTCGATTTTCTGATATGAGGAAGTTTTAAACCAGCGTATCTACAAACTTAGCTGTACCAAAAGAAATGGCGCGGTCGCCCTGCCCCAACCTAAAACGCACTTTGATTTCGGCATATCCGCCAGTACAAACGATTCTATTTCTTCGGGTATGTAAAGCTGTGGGGTACGCTTTAAAAAAAAGCAAAGCAAGAAAAAATCGCGTCGTGACTTTAGGAACATAAAGCAAACCAACGTACAGTGCACGTCGAGAATCCAGTGGTCCACCAGCTCGCTGTCTGGAAGATGCGGGTTGAAACCCTTGCAAACCAGACGTCTGCCGTTCATGTCAGCTCTTGCTTCCAGGTGAAGAATGCTTGTTGTCTTGGTTGCGTCCGTGGCCATTGTACTTGCCGACGCATTCAGAGGCACGTCGTCGAGAAACCACTGCACGACGGCTTTGGGCTGTGCTCCTTTCGCCTGACACTCCACGTCCACGACCTGGCCGTCTAGGAGCACCGCTTCTGACGTCACTATGTCCACCTCCAACGGACGTACTGTGCGCAAAAACAAAAGTAAGATGCAGTCAAGAAGGAATACCGCTTAACAGGCACTCTTTGACGTTCAGAGGTGTGGTCTAAACTAGCCAATGCGTCGTAATCCCACGGCGAAAAAAAAATGGCAGAAAACGACGACTCAATAAAAGCAGCTACTCCCTAATAAAAAAGCCTGCACTTTTCCCTGTTAGCATTAATGCGAATGGGTTTCTAAGTATAGTCACTGACAGAATAAGAACAGCAGGACGTGTCTTTCGAACGTCCGAGCACCAGCAAGTGTGCCCTCGTGGAGCACCAGTCGCCAACTACCTGTCGAAGGAAGGTGGGAAGATGGCGCTGGAGGCGGGGTTACTGAAGCTCCTCCCTACAGTTCCCACCTTGTCAGTGACTATGCCCTGGGTTCCTGGCATGATGGAGGCACAGAACAGTGAGTGGCGGCGCAGGAGGGCGGCGATGATAAGTTATCGATGTCTACTGCTTTTACAAGCAAGTTTGTAAAGTTTTATGTTTAACGTGGAACAGGTTGCAGACGTGGATATGTCGAAAACGACCGACACAAAAAAGCGACACCTGAAAATGGCCCGTAAAAATAACGTCAACACCGCGACGTTAACGCGGCATGTAGCGTGGTCCCGTGACCAGGTGACGTGGAACGCGTGACGCTAGGCAATATGGATCTACACGCCTCATTATAAAGACGATTTCATCGTGGTTAACGACACAATACGTATTCTACACATATACATTTTGACAGGGTTCACTAAGACGGGCTGCAAACATTTTCTAAATTTATTTTCAACGGCGGAACAGTTGACAATTTTATAATATAGTTGTTACTTAGAAACTAAATCGGGACGCCTGCTTACTGGCTTAAACTACTTATATCTTAGCTCCCTAAAATATTCATTTTTCTAAGAGAAGAACGCACATTTTATTTTTTAAACAACACCGTAATAATACAAATGTCTTAATAGTCTGCAGTCATTTGTTTGCATGATGAAAAACACCGCGAAGCCTAGGACAAGCTGCCTCTGTGTCCTGTGTTTTGCGCTGTTTTTCATTATGAACGTTTTTGCCAACTAGCCCAACTGTCCATTCCTGTAAACATTTGTTTCAATATAATAATTCAAGATATGTCTATGATCTCTTAACTTATGCAAGAAACAAATTGGTATTTTTCTCGTGAAATGTTTGAAGTATTTAAAGCTTGCAAGCCGATTAACTCAACAACTTTATACAACCCTGACGAAAAGAAACCCTGGAGAAGAACAACAACAGGGACAAAGGACAAAAAAAATGATACAACCCAAACGATTGTAAAATGGATAACAAATTGCCACTGTGCACAATTTTCGAAATCATAAAGTAAATATTATTTTCAAATCAACGGCCAGCGATATCAGACAGTGATTTATTATAGATACAGAATGAAACTTTTTTCTGCATTCAATGCACTAAATACAATTATATTATGGCCAGCTAATTCCGTGTTACGGTCTGGGTAACCACTTAGGAATTCTTAGTAGTTACCCAAATATACGCCCTTGGATGTTATAGTGATTGACCCCTATACCCACAGCCGATCTTGATTTGTAACAGATTCCACGATGGCCACCGTTTTCGCAACCAGCAATGATCACGCGAAGTTACCATTGCAAAAACAATTAAGAAGGCCAAATACACTGTATATAAGCATTATTTTCTTTAAGACAAATTCCAAAATAACAAGTTTTAGGGTAGTCAAATAAATTCCATGTCTGCCTGTTAAGTTTACAATTTTTTTTTTCTGTTTAGTTTAGCGTTTGCATATGAAGTTTAATTCGTGCGTATGACGTTTGAACTCGAACAACAGGAGTCAATGATAAACAGAAACGAAGAGTTGCCTCAAAACTATAAAATGCACAAAACACAATCCGGAAAAACGCTTTTCACTCTTTTGTCTAAAATCTGTAGTTCTTTACGCTGTAGCGGGTGTTTTCCGAGCGCTTTGATGGTTTCAAATGTAATTCAGGACTTGGAAACCGTCAACTTCAAACCGATATAAGCAGCAACAATAGCAGCGACAATAGACTTCCATCTAATGGAAAATCAGGAAATAAATAAAAACGGGGGAGTCCACACTCGGTCATGAGAAGAGACGCTAACGCTAAACGAGTGCAGTAAGATATGTTATAATAACAGAATAACTAAAAAAGGCTACAATGTGGACACAAGTTGAGGGCGGGCCGTTAAGACCCCCAGGGGAGTGTAAAAAAGAGGTCACAGCATCGCTGGGGAGAACCGTTATCGGTATGCCACAGGCGGCTGCACTACAACTCGAGCGAGTTTTCTTTTTTTATATTTCTTGAAGGCAAACCTTAGCGCTGGACACGGAACTAAATCAAACAAGTCATTTCAACGCACATTTTACCGAATCGATGCACGGGTCTTGTTGCTCGCAGCTAAGTTGTGCCAAAGGGCATTCCATAATCGCTGAGAACATACGTTTTGGTTCATCTAATTTCAAGTTACGAACCAGCTCATCTGAAATAAGGACATCCTATATACGAACCACACTTTATTATTTTTTTTTGTAAATCTATATTGTTATGTCCGCTTACTCGCATGCCTTCACTGGTGTGTTTTAGCTGGCAAAGTAGAAACTTAAAGATACAGGTATCACTATTTGTATTGAAACAACTTAGATTAGATATTAAGTTCAGCACATCTTATTCTGAAAGTCGGTATAAGGTTTACAATTATAGTGCCGTGTCACTTCCACAAAAATGCCCATCGAGGTATTGATATACCGTCAATCAGTACTGAAGTCCAATATTTTATAAATACTTTAAGACCCGACGTATCATTTATTATTTATTTCTCGCCTATCATAACGCACATTGTTGGATAGTGCAATCATAAACCAATCACAATGTGAGAACCCCACGTCATACATAGAGGGGCGATGGCGATGGGGAGAAAGCAGGCTGGAAACAATTATATATGGGTGATTTCATCTCAAATCGGGCAGGCTATAAGTGTCTAATTTTTAATTTTCACGAAAAAGATATATGTTTTGGGGGTATTTCTCAAATGTAGGAGGGCGCAAACTGCATGTTCTCCCGATTTTTTGTTCTCGAGTTACGAGCCGTAGAAGCCGCAGTGGCAGAAACTAGTATTTTTGCCTGCCGTCGCAGGTCGCGTGTTTGACACCCTCTGCTGACGCTATTGTTTTCTCTACACCCTTGTAAATTTTCCCCCTCTGTTAATAGGTTCTATCTGTGCTCTACATCACTTGTATTTTTATCATAAAGTTTCTCAGTTTTGATACGTTGCATTAACTTGAAATCATAAATTTGGTTAGCCTTGAGTATACCATGTTTTTTCAAAAGTGGCTCAGATGGAAGGTCTTGCATATTTCCCGTGTAACTTTCAAATAACCACAAAATGTTGTTCTGTAATTTAAGAATCTTATTGTAGTTTGTGAGCGTGAGAAAACAATCAAATTCCTAAAACTATTTGAATACATCAAAGTATCTTTATAATACCTATTAAATGAGGGTAAAAAGTTAAAAGGGTGTAGACAAAACAATAACGCCAGCAGAGGGTGTCAAACACGCGACCTGCGACGGCAGGCAAAAACACTAGTTTCTGCCACTGCGGCTTCTACGCTTCGTAACTCGAGAACACAAAATCTGGAGAACTTGCGGTTTGCGCTCTCATTTATTTGAGAAATGCCCCTAAAAGATTTTTTTTGTGTGTGAAAATTAAAAGCTGGACCCTTTCAGCCTGTCCGATATGGGAAATTTCATCTCAAATCGGACAGAATAAAATAGTCTGATTTTTAATTTTCACAAAAAAATATATGTTTTGGGGGCATTTATCAAATAAATGAGGGCGCAAACCGAATGTTCCCCAGATTTCTTGTTCTTCAGTTACGAAGCGTAGAAGCCGCAGTGGCAGAAACTAGAGTTTTTGGCTGCCGTCGGAGGTCGCGTGTTTGACACCCTCTTCTGGCGCTATTGTTTTCTCTACACCCTTTTAACTTTTCCCCCTCATTTAATAGGTATTATAAAGATACCTTGATGTATTCAAATAGTTTTAGGAATTTGATTGTTTTTTTTAAAAAAACATGTCAAACTCGTCACTCCGGTCACTTTTCGGTCAAATTTGACAGGTCATTACTTTGTCTGTGCTTAAGGTAAGTTTTCTTTATTTGTCTTTACAGAAAGCCCAAAGCAAGCCCGTTATAGATATAATAATATCATTATTATCTGCCGAGTAGCCGCTCCGCTACTTTAACGTAAACGTGGTGAAAAATAACAAATGTTCACACATTTCACGCGATTGCGGCTCAAACAGAGGACATACAACCAAGATATTAATTTTTAGATTGTTTTTTCTTGTAGCCGACTAATATGTCTAAAAGAATTTAAAAAATAAAATTTACAAAAATAAGTTTTTTGAAAAAATCGATCTCAAACTTTTAACATTTGTTATTTCTTACAACGTTTACGTGAAGGTAGCGGAGCGGCTAGTCGACAGATCATAATAATATTATTATATCTATAATGGGCTTGCTTTGGGCTTTCAGTAGAGCCAAAGAAAGAAAATTTACCTTAAGCACAGACAGAGTGATGACCTGTCAAATTTGACCGAAAAGCGACCGGAGTGACGGGTTTGACATGTGTTTTAGAGAACAATCAAATTTCTAAAAATATGTTAATACATCAAGGTATCTTTATAGTACCTATTAGATGAGGGGGAAATTTAAAAGGGTGTAGAGAAAACAATAGCGTCAGCAGAGGGTGTCAAACACGCGACCTGCGACGGCAGGCGAAAACACTAGTTTCTGCCACTGCGGCTTCTACGGCTCGTAACTCGAGAACAAAAAATCGGGAGAACATGCGGTTTGCGCCCTCCTTCATTTGAGAAATACCCCGAAAACATATATTTTCTTCGTAAAAATTAAAAATTAGACACTTTTAGCCTGCCCGATTTGAGATGAAATCACCCATATA